AGGAGGGCGCCCCGCCGCCACGTGCCCTGCGCCCGCCCGGCCGGGCCGGCGGAGAGGGAGCTGCCTCTGCCCAGGCTCTTGCTGAGTGAAGTAGGGCTCGGTGGTTGCGCTCGTAGGCAAGGAGACAACGTGCGTGTCGGGTTAGGTTAGCTACTACAGAGCTGGTCGTTTTGCAGCTGAAAAGGTACTTGGCTCCTCAGAGGATGTGGTTTAACGTGGTTACGCAAAAACAGGGTGTTCAAAACAGAATGCAGACTTGCAAGAGGCTTCATTACAGCAACTGTGAGCTCTCTACCTGCTCACAAACTGGGGATGGGCACTGTAGGACTCTGACATAATGTTATCAGGTGATGCTGTGTTTGGTTACAGTCACACTGTTTAAGGGAGAAGAAGGAACAAAAGCCCAGACAAACATCTATGTGCAGTTACTCAAAATTAGCTGCAAGGCCGTTACGTTAGCTCATGCATGGAAGTTTTCTTAAGGCTTCCTCTGAAGCCTCTGGTATTAGCTACTGCCTCAGGCAGCAAGATGCTCCCTACAGGTGCAATCACAGGCTTGGTCTTTTACAGCAGCACCTGTTCCCACACACACACACACCTGCCAGAGATAAATTATGCCTTTACACATTTATTTATTGGAAAGGTATGAGCATATCTGGTTTTGATTTCTTCCTCTTTTTGCATGCTCACTGTTTACCTTCCTGTGAGAATATGCTTCGATCCAACATGGAAACTGGAAGTTAGAAACAAGTATGGCCCCCGCCTCTCTCTTCCCCTCAGCGTAACTTCATTCTGTTAAGAGATCTGAGCTCTGCTGAAAACAAGTTCTCACTACCTCAGCATATGCAAAACATTGGCATTGAAATGAGCCTTGGTATGAAAACAACTCTTGCCCCAATTTAGCACCCTACAACTTATTTTCATGAGGGAATACTATCAGTATTTTTCAGGCAACTCTTTCCAGAGCCCAGTGAGAATCAGAACAAAGGAACTCTCTTACCCCTCCACACCTTCTTTGACAGCACTGAAAGCCTTGTCTTCTTTAGGATGGCATTTTTAAGCATAATGAGTTTATCTGATGGTTTATCTGCTTCTGTGCTCTCCTCACCTGCATTTTATGGTTCTATCTGTGCCTGCTTGATTGTATCAGCATAAAAATACCGATGTCTCCAGGATGCAGCTTTATATGTGTTACTAGCATTGCTAATGTTGACATCACTGATACTGTTGAAGTCACAAGGCTTTTTTTTAAAATAAGATCATTGTCACACTTCTTGGCTCTGCAAGGCCATAACCAGCACATCATATATTGACACGAAATAAGATTAAAAAGCCCCACCACACATGCAGCAGCAGCAGCCACAGATCCCCTGGCAGAGCTGGCACTTCATCTCAAATGCAGCCAGTAGGCTAGAAAGCACAGCATTGACTGGCTTCTTCTCAGGTGAGCAAAATACTCAGGCAGATGAAGATCCTGAACACCAAGGATCAAGCAGGTCAGAAATCTGGACAGCAAGCACTTAGATTCCCAGCAGCACTACCAAGGTGAACAACATGTTTGAGTGTCTGGTTTTCTTAAAAAACAAAATATAGATAGGTATCATCAGATACATAATAGAAGAGGATTTATTTTTCCAGTCAGAACTGGACATTTTGAGCAGGTATAAGCCAGTAACCTTTCAGGGTACTGTTCTCCCCCGCCCCCCCCCCCCCCGTC